TGAAAAAGTTCACCTAATAAAATTAGTTTAAACATGGGTGCACAATATTTTAAACCATTATTTCCTAAACGAGGGGTTTCTTCCCAAGTAGGAGAAACCAAATTTAGTGTAATTTCTCCAATATTGTTTTATTTCTAAGGTTATTGCAATACATGTATATTTATTCGTCAATATTCAACTATTCGGACCATGCAATATCCAAAGCGCGTGCTGCATTAGCTAAATATTCGTTGAAATTTATCAAATGTGGGAGTTTCCATGAATAGAACGAAGTAATAGCCAAGAAAAAGAAAATATGTCAAAAAAGATGGCGAATCATTGGTTTAGAACATTTTTCTGTAAAATATATAGAATACTTTCAAACAATTATACCAGTTATGTTGGTTTGTTGCAAAGTCTCTGCAGAGATATGAGCTTCTGATGTAGAGAGAGTTGCCTCTACTGTTTGGACAGTTGCCTTTTGCGACGCTATTTCTGTATGTTCAGAGATCACCGAAACATCTTTTGCACTTTCTATGCTCATATCATGAACAGCAGCCCCGGTGATGCTAGTTTCTGGAAATGAAAGAACAGGTTTCTTTAATAAAAGTTACGAAATCAGTTTTTGTTAAAATAAAATTGAATGTCGAAAACAAAAGTTTTCATGAAAATCTATTCATGAAAACTCTTGTTACCGACATTCAAGGGACTAGTAAAGATATCCAAAACATAAAAAAGAAGAAATGTATTAAAAAAGATGGCGAATTACTGGTTTGGAAATTTTTTCTGTAAAATAAAAAGAAAACGTTCAAACAACCATACCAGTTATGTTGGTTTGTTGCAAAGTCTCTGCAGAGATATGAGCTACTGCTGCAGAAAGAGTTGCCTCTACTGTTTGGACAGTTGCCTTTTGCGACGCTATTTCTGTATGTTCAGAGATCACCGAAACATCCTTCGCACTTTCTATGCTCATATCTTGAATAGAAGCCCCGGTGATGCTAGTTTCTGGAAATGAAAGAACAGGTTTCTTTAATAAAAGTTACGAAATCAGTTTTTGTTAAAAAAAAATTGAATGTCGGAAATAAAAGTTTTCATGAAAATCTATTCATAAAAACTCTTGTTACCGACATTCAAGGGACTAGTAAAGATATCCGAAACATAATAAAGTAGAAATATATTAAAAAAGATGGCGAATTAATGGTTTAGAAATTTTTTCTGTAAAATAAAAAGAAAACTTTCAAACAATCATACCAGTTATGTTGGTTTGTTGCAAAGTCTCTGCAGAGATATGAGCTTCTGCTGCAGAAAGAGTTGCCTCTACTGTTTGGACAGTTGCATTTTGCGACGCTATTTCTGTACTGTTCAGAGATCACCGGAAACATCTTTTGCACTTTCTATGCTCTATATCTGAATAGCAGCACCGGTAATGCTGGTTTCTGGCAATGAAAAAACAAATTTCTTAAAAAAAAGTTACAAAATAAGTTTTCTTGTTCCGACCTTTTTTTATTTTTTCATAGTTCTATTACTTTGTGTATTTCTACTGCATATCCAAGCATGCTGGAAAAATAACTACTGATTACTAACTAAGGCTTGGTAGAAACGTACTTTCTAACCAAATCATGAATCCAAGTTCAAAGCCCTGATCGTTGCTATAATTCATGGCTAGTACACTTTAAATGGAATACTCGAGAAAGAAATTTTAGGATTAAAAATTTTTTTGTCGACTAATCAAAAACTAGATAAGAAAACTTATACCGGATAAGATTACTTTGATTTATTTTCCAGAAATAGAAGAAGTTCTGAGTCACTCAACAAAACTAGTTTAAACATGAGTGTACAATTTTTTAGACCAGAGTTTCCTAAACGATGAATTTTTTTCCAGATAGGGGAAATCAAATTTAGTGCAATTTCTCCAATATTGTTTTATTTCTATGGTTATCGCAATGTGTACATATTTATTCAATTTTCAACTATTCAAAACTAGTAAATTTCAAAGCGCATGCTGCATTAGCTAAATATTCGGTAAAAAGTCATCAAATGTGGGAGTTTCCATGAAAACGAAGAAGTAATTGGCAAGAGGAGGAATATTTTAAAAAAAAGGGCGAATCACTGGTTTAGAACCCTTTTATGTAAAATACATTGAAAACTTTTAAACATTCATACCAGTTATGTTGGTTTGCTGTAAAGTCTCTGCAGAGATATGAGCTTCTGTTGCCGACACATTTGCCTCTACTGTTTGAACAGTTGCCTTTTGCGACGCTATTTCTGTATGTTCAGAGATCACCGAAACTTCTTTTGCATTTTCTATGCTCATATCTTGAACAGTAGCCCCGATAATGCTGGTTTCTGGAAATAAAAAGTACAGATTTATTTAATAAAAATTGAAAAAATCAGAATTTTCAATCCGACCTTTTTCGATTTTATCATGGTTCTATTACTATGATTTTGTCTAGTGCGTATCCAAGTATGCTGGAAAAAAAAACTACTGATTACTAACTGAAGCTCGGTAGGGACGTTCATTCCAGCTAAATCTTGACCTCGAAAATGTATCGAATGTTAGAAACAGAATTTCCATGAATAGAGAAGTTGAAATTGACAAGAAAAAGAATATATTAAAAAAGATGGCAAACTACTGGTTTAGAACATTTTTCCGCAAAATATATAGAAAACATTAAACAATCATACCAGTTATGTTGGTTTGTTGCAAAGTTTCTGCAGATATATATGCTTCTGCTGCAGAGAGAGTTGCCTCTACTGTTTGAACAGTTGCCTTTTGTGAGACTATTTCTGTATGTTCAGAGATCACCGAAACATCTTTTGCACTTTCTATGCTCATATCTTGAACAGCAGCCCCGGTAATGCTGGTTTCTGAAAATAAATAATAGATTACTTTAGATGACTCAGAACCATGGCCCCGAATCCACACCCAAAGTCCCGCTATTTGGTGTTATCTAATGTCTGTAGAATTTATTTTTTGTATATCTTTATAAGTTCGGCAAATAAAAATTAACTTGCCGACTAATAAATGATGATTAGAATACCTCTAAGGGACCGGAACACTCTAGTTAGTGCAAAATAAAAGTTCTGATTTAATCATAAAATCTCCTTTCAACATTAATCCGCTTTTTGCGCTGGTCCGGATCGACTTCTTATACCCCTTTTATAATATGACATAAATAGTTACCCAAATACGCTAGTACATTTCCCAATATCTATTTAAAAAGCCTATTTTCGCCGCTTCCCACTAAAACCCGCCCAAATTACGTAGCGCAAACGCGTCCAACCATACGCCGGTAGGAAGAGAGAAATTTCAAAAAATTTTGAGAAAAGTTTCTCACTTTCAACGCTCTGGTCAACACGTGATCGATATGCGAGAGAAAGAGTTCTCTTTTGGACGAGCTTTATGTCACCATCAAAAAATACAAGAGTGGGCTTTTGAAGTGAAGTCGTATTGGTTTTATCGAAGATTATTTGAGCACGTGCTGTCTGGTATCTTTGTTTGTTTATTATGTGCCGGAGAACGTTGCTCGCGCGTTCAAAATAATTTGCGTAAATAACAACAGATTCTTTGTTTATTTTTGAGCTTTGAAATACTCATACAAATAAATTAGACCTTGTAGTGAAATAAAAATTATGCATAAAAAAATATGATGACGTCCCCGTGGTTAAAAACACTCGGATCAAGCATGGATTATAGTTGGATGCCTAAAATGATTTTAGTTAGTGCGGGAATATTTCACAACATAAACATAAACGTAAAATAGCCCGAAAATAACTATTATTGTCCTATTATGACCAAGGATGGCGGAGTGTACAAATAGTCCCATTATTTGGTGTCATCTAATATCAGTAGAATTTATTTTTTGTATTTCTTTATAAGTTTGACGAATAAAAATTAACTTGCCGACTAATAAATGATGATTAGAATACTTCTAAGGGACCGGATCACTCTAGTTAATTTTACTGCAAACTAAAAGTTCTGATCTGATCATGAAATCTCCTTGAAATATGAAAGCACGATATATTAAATCAGCATTTTGCAACTAAGAAGTTTTTTCACATAGAGGAAAAACAGAAATGTTACTTCGTATTCAGATAGTTTTTGATTACTTTGGTAATAATCTAATTACAGTATTTCTCCACGTCTAATACCACATTCAAAGCTTAATTTCATTTGAAAATTTGAATGTTTTCAAGAATAGGGAAGAAGTACTTAATAATAGAAGGAATATAACAGAAAAAATGTGAAGATTCACTGGTTTTGAACCCATTTATGTAAAATATATAGAAAGCTTTTAAACAATCATACCAGTTATGTTGGTTTGTTGCAAAGTCTCTGCCGAGATGTGAGCTTCGGTTGCCGAAACATTTGCTTCTACTGTTTGGACAGTTGCCTTTTGCGACGCTATTTCTGTATGTTCGGAGATCACCGAAACATCTTTCGCACTTTCTATGCTCATATCTTGAACCGCAGCCCCGGTAATGCTGGTTTCTAAAAATTAAAGAACAGATTTGTTTGATAAAAGTTACAAAATGAGTTTTTGCAATACGACCTTCTTCGATTTTTTATGGTTCTATTACTTTGTGTATGTCTACTTTGTATCCAAGCATGCTGGAGAAATAAACTACTGATTACTAACTAAGGCCCGGTAGAAACATTCATTCCAAACCATGAATCCAAATCCACAGCCCTGAACGTTGCTATAATCTATGTCTAGTGCATTTTATATTTAATACCCAAGAAATTCAACGAATAAATATTTATTTGCCGACTAATAAATAATTAGGCAAAAAACTTGTACATGATAAGATTACTTTAGTTAACTTTTCTGAAATAGATGAAGTTCTGAGTCACTCAGTAAAACTAGTTTAAACATGAGTGTACAATATTTTAGACCAGAGTTTCCTAAACGAGGAGTTTCTTCCCAAATAGGAGAAACCAAATTTAGAATTGCTTTTCATTTTTGCAATCCTTGTAATTTATTAAATTTGACCCGCTCGAGATAATTTTCAAGATGTCGCCGTTGGCAAAATTCCAAGTTGCGATAAAACTCTACAGATTGCAATATTACATTGATCAGTTTTATATCATCAAAGCAATAAGGAAAGAGGTCAAGTGCGACCAGGCTGTAATTTTATGATGAATAATGAAACAGATCAACCTCAGGTTACTATGGTATAGTTTCGACCGAACCATACCATAGTCACCTATAAAATGAATGCCCTTTTAGTTATATTTGTGATCGTATTTGATAGCATTGAACCTGGGTAAAAAAAATAAACGAATGGGCAATACCGAATAGTTCACTATTTCGAATACATTCGAATTTAATATTTTCGAATATGAAATATCGAATACATTCAAAATAAAATCAAGTAAAAGAATGCTATCTTGGTGTATGAAGGAATTTGCATACAATTAATATAGGACAACTGTATTCACTGTGATATTTTAGAATATTAATATTTTTATTTTTCTATAATTCGATGCATCCAAGTCCTCGGCCATAGATTTGAATATTCTGTGCCACAGTACATTTTCCTGGTGAAGCGTTCATACTTCTAACTATCATTATTCAAATTATTTGTCAAAAAAGTTTCGAATACTTTGATATTGGAATAAATTCGATTTTTCGATTCGTTTTGGTCAACTCTAACTTAGGGTGCTTAAATATTTAACTTAATATTGAATGAGGGGTTTTTTCTCAGTAGGTTGGGGTGCTTAAAAATTTAACTAAATATTGAATGTGGGGGTTTTTCTCAGTAGGTTAGGGTGCTTAAAAATTTAACTTATATTGAATTGAAAGGTTAAGGTGCGTTACTTAAATATGTATTACTTTAGTAAGTTGAGAGAGTAAAAATTGCAGTAAATACTCAGGTTAGGATAATTAAAAATCTAACTAAATACCAAAATTGGTCAGGGTTAGAAAGTTAAGACCTCTAACACAAGAATGCGACTTGTAGGCCAAAATCAAAGAAAGTTTGACAAGAGGTATAAAAATTATTTACCATTAATGTTGGTTTGTTGATGTACATTTGCAGAGATAATTGCCTCTCCTGTCGTAACGTTTGCTTGCTCAGTGGAAACAGAAACCTCCTCAGCTTGCAAACTTGTCTCGTTACTCGCTGCAATATAGTCACATATGTCAATTAGGTATTAATTAGAAGCACTGTCTTGTGAGTTAAAAATGGAAAACCAAGTTAATTAAAATAAATTAAATGAAGTCTGATATCATTGCCTATTGATATAATATTGGTTATACATCAGACATTGTTCGATGTAAACTAAGAAGATAGATTAGTTCTACTTTGTGATTTCACATGAACGTAAATTCAAGTTTGTGGATTTAAAACGGAGGTTTCCAGCGTGTTAAAATGAACAAAATTGAAATATCCTCACTTGCGGGATCGAGTGATAAGTTTTTTCTGCATTTCACAGCCCTGACCGCACTTCTAGATGGCGAAAAGAATCGCATTTAACAAAGTCAAAAATACATACCGGTAATACTATTTCTGACTAAAATGAAGCCGGATATTGAAAATTTGGTGCCGTTCACCCGGCTCGCACTTCTCATTAGATTAATAATAAATAGAGAATAAATTTATTTCTACTTTTAGTCAGGGGGGCACTTGTTAGTCAAAAAGTCGTACGAGGGGGCGCTACAAATAAAATTTGAGAAAACAATGAGTTGAAACAATATTTCAGAAAGAATTATCTTACCGATGTGGCATTGTTCCGCAGAAATGACGGCATCTCTTGCTGTCACAGTCGCCTGTTCTGCTATCACAGATGCTTCGTCTACATGTGCAATATCTGAACGTTCTGCTGTCACGGAAACTTCTGCAGCGTTATTCACGCTCAAGTCTTGCACAGCGGAATGAGTTATGTTTGTCTCTGACACCGACACAGCTGGCCCGATCTCCTGCTCCATTTTCAAACCTTTAAAACATCAGATTCGGGTTCGTCAGATATATTATACAAAATAATAAGAAATATGTGAAACAATGAAAGAAATGATACGCTGGGGATATCAATAGACTAAAACCATAAAACTGTGGTACGAGGGGTATTGGAAAGAAAACCTTTTTTTACAAATGGAAATCAGCTCAACACCGGTAAGGACAGGAATATAATAAGAATAAAAATTTCATATTTATTCTGAGAGGAAAGTCGATAAGGCGACTAGATCATATTCTACCACGTGATTGTGATGTGTGTCGGTCTCGCCAAATAATTAATCTGTATACCCATACCCGACGTGGACCCTATCTGTTCCAATACCGGACATGAACTGTGACGCACGAGAAGCCGTGCTTTGATGTATGATTACGCTTTTTTAAGGCTTTCTTCTCCCCGGGATAAATATAGAATTCATATCCTACAGTTTTCAATAAAATAATGTTCAGTAAGTAAATTAAACAAGTCTCGAATGTAGTAAACTCACCATCTATTGCGATGAAATGAAACTTCAACACTTGAAGTGTTTCAAATGATTTACCTCAGGTTGATTTTTATGTTTATGGTTGAAACTGAGAATGACAAAGTGGAATTTACGACAGGATCAATGACAAAGAGGTTTTTGACATTGAACAACTGAATCACAAAGAATTAATAACATTAGTTACATCAGGATACATAATGCAAGTGTTGGAGTTTGTAATCTCAAGTTTTTTCGAATATCGATCTCATGGGATTCGTTTCCATCAACAAAACATTTTTATAAGCGTTTCACTGTTTAGTAATAATATAGAACATCAGCGGGGTAGATTGTAAAGTATAGGGAAAACATTCCAAAAATAAAACAAAAATTTAAATCTCGTGTAAGCACTTTGGCAATGCATGTTAGGTTGTTTTAAGGCAAATTAGTGGTATTCCGCATCCCACAGCTCTAAAAACATCTGTCTGAACAAACGCATGAAATATACGACTCCATAAAATGGATTTATTGCCTCATAATATACGAAAAACGATCATGCCGAGTGCTTCCATGTATGGGCTATGCGCAAATATATGTCTAGCAAATATATCGTTCTTCAAATACTGTTATATATTTAGAGTGTTATTGCTGAATCTGAATGAAAACAATTCACTTTGTGCAAAGCCCTTGAGCAATATACGATGACAATTTGTGAATGAACCTTGCTACGCTTCTAACAATTTCCGCTGTTGGCATCGAGTTTCATAACATCATAATAAACACAGCAGTGGAGTCAAACGTCAGAGGTAAAGGTTAGAGTATCTTTTGTTCAACGTTATTTTTAATGACGTTTTTATTAACTCGAACTGGAAGCAACATAATAATCTGGTTTAGATGGCACATTTCCTACGCCGACCAGCTAACGGCTTTTTACATACATGTAAAAGAATATAAAAAAGAGAAAAAAAAGTATACTCGACGAAGTAAGCTCTAAAAATTGGTTTAATAATCCGTTATGGCAATAAAAACTTAGATTTCAGTCGTGTATTCAGACAAACTCCGGTCTGAGCCGTCCGTTACCAAATCAGCTGCCCAAATAACCCCGAATACACGTAAAAATCACTTTGAACTCGGAGTTGACACTCAAACATAATCTCGAGCAAAAATAATCGAAATAAATTCATTGTAAATTCTTGTTGAATCGAAAACTCATTAAGTGCGAAAAAATTGAACAGCCATAGTTGAAAAAGGACGGCCGATAACTGGAGAGAATTCCCGTGATTGCCAACTACAAAAAGAAAAACAAGAAACGCGGCCCGATCGCAAAGAATCAAAGCCTGCCGAACTCCAGCTGCAATGCCATATATTTCTATGTTTAGATAAGAGATGGACTAAGTGAGACATCACATACCACTTAGAAATATTAACTCATAATCATTGCCCATAAAAAACAAAATAAGCCTATGTGTTTACTTAGTCTCACCAAAGGTACGCTTTTCCTAAACAGCGAAAAAATGTAGCGCATCCAATTTACCTAAGTTTGGTATCATTATTCAAAATATGTATAAGAATGATCCAGCATTTACATAAATCTGGGATGCCAACACCGTCAATCTTTCAAAACCAAGATATATCCGGTTTTGACCCCTGGCCGGTTTAACAACATTTTGGGCTATTTGTATCGTAAATAGCAAAATAGTGACGTGTCTCTTTCAAAGTAAGATTAGAGGCTCCACCCAAATTATACGCGATAACACTTTCGGTAGAAATGTCTGTACATCTCCGTCTAATGCTAAAATAGATTAAATTTTTTACTTTAGATTATTATTTTAACACTTTTGCCTCATTTCGTTGATTAAGATTTGGCAACATTCATTTCACCCTGACCCTTTCACACAAACCTATGCCAGCCCCACTTGACCTAGATATTGAAACACTTCGCACTCACAAATAGATAGAAAAATAAATTACTGTATGTTTGAAATAATTGTCCGCTTTACATAGATAGCTTGACGTAAACTGCAACGCATTTCCTTATGTGTCAGGTTTGCTCAACGCGTTGAAGCTATAGATGGGAATAAATGGACAGGAAATTGAGTCAATCCTTGTATAAGATTACTGGCTATTTATAAAATGGGAATTCGAACAACACAATGTATTGCTGCATAATTATACTTCAATAGTTTTCGGGTTGTAGTATCAACCTTTTGAACCAAAACTCCATTTGAACATTTTGTATAAATTAATGTTCGAATGAAAATTCTATAGGTTTCGGAAATGTCAAACTGGGTTGAAATATAGAATTATGATTCTATATGTATGCAGATAACGACTCGCAATTCTGTTCTATATGTATGCAGATAACGCAAATCTCGCAATTCTAAATTATATATGTATGCAGATAACCTCGCAATTTGAATTCTATATGTATGCAGATAACGCAAATCTCGCAATTCTGAATTCTATATGTATGCAGATAACGCCAAATCCGCAATTCTGGATTTATATGTATGCAGATAACGCCAAATTCCGCAATTCTGGATTCTATATGTATGCAGATAACGCCAAATCCACGCAATTCTGAATTCTATATGTATGCAGATAACGCCAAATCCTCGCAATTCTGAATTCTATATGTATGCAGATAAGGCCAAATCCTCGCAATTCTGAATTCTATATGTATGCAGATAAGGCCAAATCCTCGCAATTCTGGATTCTATATGTATGCAGATAACGCCAAATCCTCGCAATTCTGGATTCTATATGTATGCAGATAACGCCAAATCCTCGCAATTCTGATTTCTATATGTATGCAGATAAGGCCAAATCTCGCAATCTGAATTCTATATGTATGCAGATAAGGCCAAATTCCCGCAATTCTGAATTCTATATGTATGCAGATAAGGCCAAATCTTCGCAATACTGAAGTCTATATGTATGCAGATAAGGCCAAATCCTCGCAATTCTGAATTCTATATGTATGCAGATAACGCCAAATCCTCGCAATACTGAATTCTATATGTATGAAGATAACGCCAAATTCTCGCAATACTGAATTCTATGTGTATGCAGATAACCCAAATTCTCGCTATTCTAAATTCTATATGTATGCAGATATCGTCGCAATACTGAATGTCTATATGTATGCAGATAAGGCCAAATCCTCGCAATTCTGAATTCTATATGTATGCAGATAAGGCCAAATCCTCGCAATTCTGAATTCTATATGTATGCAGATAAGGCTGAATTCTTGTAAATCTGAATTCTATTTGTATGCAGATAACGCCAAATCCTCGCAATTCTGGATTCTATATGTATGCAGATAACGCCAAATCCTCGCTATTCTGAATTCTATATGTATGCAGATAACGCCAAATCCTCGCAATTCTGGATTCTATATGTATGCAGATAACGCCAAATCCTCGCAATTATGAATTCTATATGTATGCAGATAACGCCAAATCCTCGCAATTCTGGATTCTATATGTATGCAGATAACGCCAAATCCTCGCAATTCTGGATTCTATATGTATGCAGATAACGCCAAATCCTCGCAATTCTGGATTCTATATGTATGCAGATAACGCCAAATCCTCGCAATTATGAATTCTATATGTATGCAGATAAGGCCAAATCCTCGCAATTCTGGATTCTATATGTATGCAGATAAGCCAAATCCTCGCTATTCTGAATTCTATATGTATGCAGATAAGGCCAAATCTTCGCAATACTGAAGTCTATATGTATGCAGATAAGGCCAAATTCTCGCAATTCTGAATTCTATATGTATGCAGATAAGGCCAAATCTTCGCAATACTGAAGTCTATATGTATGCAGATAAGGCCAAATCCTCGCAATTCTGAATTCTATATGTATGCAGATACCGCCAAATACTGAATTCTATATGTATGCAGATAACGCCAAATCTCGCAATACTGAATTCTATGTTGCAGATAACCCAAATCTCGCAATTCTGATTCTATATGTATGCAGATATCTCGCAATACTGAAGTCTATATGTATGCAGATAAGGCCAAATCTCGCAATCTGAATTCTATATGTATGCAGATAAGGCCAAATCTCGCAATATTGAATTCTATATGTATGCAGATACGCCAAATTCTCGCTATCTGAATTCTATATGTATGCAGATAAGCCAAATCCTCGCAATTCTGAATTCTATATGTATGCAGATAACGCAAATTATCGCAATACTGAATTATATATGTATGCAGATAACGCCGAATCCTCGCAATTCTGAATTCTATATTTATGCAGATACCTCCAAATCCTCGTAATACTGAAGTCTATATGTATGCAGATAAGGCCAAATCCTCGCAATTCTGAATTCTATATGTATGCAGATAAGGCCAAATCCTCGCAATTCTGAATTCTATATGTATGCAGATAAGGCCAAATACTCGCAATATTGAATTCTATATGTATGCAGATAACGCCAAATCCTCGCAATATTGAATTCTATATGTATGCAGATAACGCCAAATTCTCGCAATACTGAATTATATATGTATGCAGATAACGCCAAATCCTCATAATTCCTCGCGCCGTTATACGTTTTGGGTATTGTCAATAATATTTTAAGCACCGTATCTGCATCGGCTTTTTTGCAAAAATCTTAACAAACAGAGCAAATTATTTAAAAATTATAGGCAAGAAAAACAATACATACTGCGTTTCAGAGCGTTTTGGGAAAAGTTTTTTGCATCCGAACTAGCTCGCTTTTAATATTTATGTACTTTTTTATGTACTCAGATAATGAAATGTTTGTTCAGAAAGTTTTTTTCATGGTAAGATCTGAGTAATCACGCAGGGAACTCTTGTTATAGAAATAGCTTGTTTTATAAAGATGTAGGAAAAACAATGGTAAAGTAATTACTTGTTACAATATTCAGTTCCAACATTGGTGGTGTTAATGATAATTTCATTTTAAGGCACACCATTAATTCAACATACATCACCTTGCACAGAACGATTAAAATTATTTAGAGCAATAGATTTCCCCAAACGATAATCAGTTTTATGAATGAACGCCAAAACAGCTGATCCATTGATTCGAATAGTTTCCGCTATTGGTGTCGTGTTTCACAACATTAGTTTTTTTGAAAAGCAGCGTTTTTTACGTTCGCAGCAACTAGACAAGACTATTATTTTATCAGAAAAACTCCG